ATATCGGAAATATGTTGGAAGATTGACCCAGAGACTCTTTCATATAACTAAAAATAGAGTTCACATGGCGTGTTGGTTGCAGGAAGCAACCGCTGGATTTGTCCGCACCCGATCCACGCGGTGAACTTCCATGGCCAGACGACCTACCCTCTCTCCTCCGACTGCTTCTTCTCCGAGATCTCTGGTTTTCTCTCTCTTCCTTCTTGTGTTCTCTAATGGCGGGAAGAGGCAGATCCCAATGCCTCCATTTCACCATGAACCCCTTTTCTCCTTCAAACTTCGTTTAGATGACAATATATGCCACGCTTCTGGCTTCACCCTGGACGTTCTCTTCTCGCCTTCCAACCCAAGCAATTCTTTCGATTTCTTTTCCCTAATCCTCATCGTATTCCGTGAATTGAATTTCCTTTTGCCCTCTTCGTGTTTACGAGTGAGCGCCTTGCATTTTGGGGGATGAAATTTGGCGGTGATTGTTTTGTTTCGTTATGGAATCTCCCCTGCCTTGTCTTGGTTATTAATTAATTCTTGTCTTTGTATTAACATGCGTCGGTTGCGTGTATGCGTCTTTCCGATTTCGGTGTCGTTACTCAAAGCTGTAATTGGTGGTGATTTGGGAATCAGACTTGGTGTTAATGGGGAATGTTGATGATGATCGTTGTGTATTTCCTCTCACCAATTTGCAAATCGGGTATGCTTTCTCTTCCTTTGGATTAATTCCTTTTCGTGATGAGTTTCTCTATTCGTTTATATGATTGTTGTTGAGGGTTTCTTTTTCTCTTTTTTTCTTTTTCTCTTTTTGAAGATGAATGTTGGGTTTGTCTGTTCTTTTTGTATTCGTTTAAATGAATTCGCGTTCAACTTGTTTGATATTCGAAATAATTTGAAGGTTTCCTGTGTAATTGCAATGCTTTGACTGTATTTCTAATCGTATTGATGAATTTTTAGATGAGTTTCGGTAGCCGATTTCAATGGTTGGTGAATAGTATATTTGTTCAATGTTCAACTGTTTTTCATCAATTCAGCGACTTGCAGTCATATCTCTCTGATCTTAGCCTCTTCGTGGCGCATGAGAGTAAAAAATTCTTAATTTTGGTGGACAATCGGCCATGGTTGAGAGAATTTGGTTCGCGGCCTGCTCGGTTGTGGCAACTGATGGTTACGAAGGTTTGTATCAAATTCAATCCTGTTGAACTTTGTTTATCAATTTTCTGATACTCAGACTAAATTACCTTACTATTTTTCAGTCGAGGCTCTCTCCTTTTGCAAACAGGAAAGTACGGAGGGATAGAAATAGTGAACGAGTTGCTTATCAGAGACCCAAAATTACTAAGAAAAAGAAGTGTTTGTGGTTCTCATTGATCAATGCACTGACCCTGTCTCAAAAGAAACTTCTTCTTCCAATGCCTCCTGTGGAGAACCTTCGAAAATCTTTTATCCTAAACAATGAACTGCATTGCACATTGTATGGTTTTATTGTTTTTGAAGTTTCATGGAGCAATGTTAGGGGTATAAACTACTTTAATGAGCTTCAGGTACCTACTCTTCCACCTGCTTCGTCGGTTTGCTGTCTTGTAGTTGTCTGTGCTCAATCATTTTCATCTCACCTGCAGACGGATACCTCTCTGGCCGTAGAGTCTAAATATATGCAACGATGGGAATTTGATTGCATATCTCATGCTGCGGGGAGCGTATCTTCTTGGTTCTTGGGTTCACCCTCAGATGAGCAACTGTTGAAGAGTTATTTGGAATCAGTCACAGGTAATGTTAGTGTTTCGAATTAATTCTGACGTAGATAAAATCTACGAATGCAAGTATGTACGTTCTGTTGTTCACGTGTGGAGGCTAGATCGGTGCACTGGTTGCATTGATTTTTAGATCACTTGATTCTTCACTATATCTAGGATGATTTACGAAGTGCTTTGTTTGGTAATGATATTGCAATGCTTAGAGCCTATTGTTATTTGTAGCCTTTGTAACAACTTACATTGTTCTGGCTATGGTGTGCGGATGGGTAGCACGATCCCTCGTCTTCTCCAACAAATTCTTTCTATTCGAGTCTCTAGATTATATCAATTATGTATTGCCTTCAAATGTTCGTCAACAAATGTAACATGATTATTATCCAGTTTCTATATTTGAAACTGCATAGTAGGATTTGGTTCAATCTGCTTGTATGATCTAAGCATGTCTTTGGTTGAAACTATTGAGTAGCTGATGGCTTACTTGCTTGAGCTTGCTCTCCCACAACCCCATTTTCACGGTTTAGGCTGCTCCCATTTTGATTGCCGCCACTACAAGAATCGCTTTTGCTTTCTTTTCCTCTAGCTACTAAGATGTTTCAGTCCACTTCACAATTTCATTTTCAATGCCATTTTTCAGGAGAAATTTTCTATGATGCTGTAGATGATTTTGATGATATTGAAGACAATTTCCTCAATAATAGCATTCCAATTATGGAGGACGAGATTATCTCCTACAAAAACTTTTGCATTAATAATGATCTTCTGGAGTGCACTGATGGTGAACTAAACTTACATTCTACGACTGTAGAAGACAGCACGAATACACTACAGACGCCTCCTCCTACTGGTCCTAACAAGAGAAGAAAAGTAACAAAATTTATTGGCTCAGATAATGAAGATGATACCAATCTGGATGAGATGGAGAACAGGACTAGTGGTTTCCCCAGTGTCTCAGAGATCTATGATGCTAATTGTCAAGATGTAGTTGAGGCTACACAATACAAAGATGTATTAATTTTGTTTAGGTTCGATGATCGCGACCTTCCATTTAAGTTAAAGCAAGTAATAATGTCTGATCTACGGTTGCTCACTTTGTTAGAAGCTGGTCTTCCATCTTGGGTCATCTTCCTTCAATCTTACCCTGTGTTTTGTCAAGTCTATCGTCCGTGGATGTGCCCTTTTGCAAGAGCTTTGTATGTACTGGTATCGGTTATCACCGTTCTCATAGGATTCTATGATTTATACAAAAATGTCCCGCTTTTGAAGGCAGCAGCGTCTCGTTTGTGTGGACCCCTTTTTGACTGGATTGAGAATTGGGAGATGGTATCAAGGATCAAATACTTGGGAACAATGTTGTTCTTACATAATTTTGAGAAAGCTCTTACATGGTTTCTTACTATTTCACGTACCACACGATCTTTTCTTGCAATTTTGGCTCGACCGTTGGCAAGTCCGGTCGTGGAACTTCTAGGATTCGTTCTTCCTATTTGTAATACTTGTATCGAAGTTGTTGGGAACTTCTTTTCAGTGATCTGGGATGTGATAGACTTTTGTGGCGATATGGTTGTTGACTCAGTTGTGTTGTTGCTCTTGCCAATATGGTTCATTTTCTCAACCTTGTGGAGCTGTGGTGGGTTCATACTGCTTTTCCTGTTTATTCCTTATCTTTTTCACTACATTTCTAATCCCCTTCTTTTTTCTGCAGTAACAATGATTTTGCTTCCTGCATTGAGGATCATTTCAGAAATACTATATGTTCCGATCAGAATCATTCTTTCGTTAGCTAGTTTCGTCACTTACATATGCACCGGCATTTATGAGATGTTCGGAGACGTACGACAAGTTCTTTGTAGTGTTTTTCAAGTTGCTTCTGTTTCAGAGGTAACAGTTGCCACTTCTGAGGTCTCCATTTTGCGTACACTTTGGAATGATCTCTTCTCTCAGGTACTATACATCGAACAATAACTACTCGTGTTATACTGTGCCAACTTTTTTAGTACTGTAGCGATTTCTTTGCTTCAGGTTTTTAGAGCTCTTAGAAGTATTTTAAATGGATTTGTTGCCTTCTTCACTGCCTGCAACAGACATCGGCTCAGGTTGGCTTCAGGTTTTGCTAAGTATAATTCACAATTCTTGTGTAAATAGAAGAAAGTGTCACTAATTTATCACTTCTTCCATGATGCAATAGCATCTATAATTATGTACAGGAATGTTTTGAAAGATTATGTGGTCGAATGCGAGGCTCAGAGCAGGAAGCAAGCAGCAGTAGACGCATGTACAAGCCCCAACGTCTGTCTAGGGTATATGGACAGGTTGTTTTCAATCTCATTCTTTCAAATAAGTAGTGTAATGGTTATTCCCATAGTTCTTGGAGTAGTTTGTAATAAAATTTTGAAGCCCTTGAGCAATCTGAGATCTAACGCCCAAACCTGTTCGATGTTTTTGTTGTGTTCACAGTCCTTGGAAAACCGTAAGGTTCACACGGATTAGAAGTCTATTGGCTTAAGCAGATGATTACGACGCATAGAAGATAATAAACCCCTCATGCATACTTAGTACATTTTAATCGAAAGACATGGCTCGAGGCACATCTTAGCGGAGGAGGCAGCGTAACTATACCATACAAAGTAGCATGAGTTTTTTTCTTTTTTTTCCCTACAACAACACGAGGTTGGAGGGTTCAAATTACTGAAGCTCAAGGTAGCGAGAGATTATATGCCTGAATTAGTTGAACTATCTTTTAGATCTTTTATAGTTTCCTTTCCAGATGATGTGCTGTAAATCACCGGATGTAAAGAAACATGCAAAATTAGTGTACAGAATTTGCATATTCCAAAGGTAAAGGATTTTTGATTGACTGTGGATGTTATGTATATATATATATATAGATATAGCAGGGTAGGGATTTCCTGTCTAAATAAGAAATCAAACCGCAAACTAACGCAATTTAAGAGAACATTATTTTCTGTCCACTTTATTTGACATGACGTGACATATTATTCGAAAGTGAAACGTGATACGTTGAAGTATTTTGACATATTATTCGAAAGCGAATCGTAATATGACTTAAAATGAAAGAATATTGGATGATGAAAAATATTATAGGAAATATAAAAGCAAAGGTCGAATCAGCATTCTTTTTTGAAGCATTCTGTGTGGTTCAAATGAATTAATGGTATTCCCGATTCCAAATCATCTAGTAATGCTTCCTGCTGAAGCTTTGAAATGAAATTAAAATGGTCTACCATTTTCAACGTGGAGGAGGAAAAAAACAGGTTGGTACATTGTAATTAACTTCCCAAATGTGCTACTAATGCTTCCTGCTGAAGCTTTCAATCCATACAACCACCCAAGTAACAACAAGTGATACGAGAAGATAATAATAATAATATTGACATCAGGGATTAGAAGTCTGCTGGCTTAAGCAGATAATTATGACACACATAAAATACTAAATACTAAAGGAGCATATCCAACACCCCACGTACTTCAACCACTGGATCCACCCGTCTGGTGCAACATTGCATCAATCTCATCCCCATCCTCCATCTCTAGCTGGTAAAAATTACATGCTTTTACTAAAAATTCATGAATTTTAATATTAGGGTATCTAATGGGGTGCTAATATCAGGGAAAGGGATACCTCGTCGGGAGTTTGCTCTGCTCGAAGACGACGACCATCGAATAGAAAAGCAATGGAGTTCAGATCCACAGATTGTCGATCACAGTAAGCATTCATTAGTTTCTTCAGCTGAGTGCTCCTTTTAATCCTGAAGAACACCTCGTTCCCATCCTATAGGAAATCAAAATTTCAGAATTAAGATGTTAGTCTTTCACAAATACAAACCCATAATTTTTTGGTAAAGAAACAAACTTTGATGGAGAAAAGTGAAACAATGCAATAAGGCATATCAAAAATAAGCCCACAAAAGGAATCCTACAATAGGAAGATCAAGAAAATTATTTCCATGGAATGTATTAACCATGAAGATTGATACATTGGATCAATCACTCCAAGATAGAAAATTTTGGGACAGAAAAATGGAGCTGAGCATTCATAAGCACTTTCAATCTCCTTGCTCTTCCTAGCCTTAGTAAAAAAAATAACTCAGTAGATGGATTAAACCGAGCGTCCACTCAATTCACTGCCATTTGTATCAATAATCACAACGAAGACCACAAAGCAGCATTCTTCTCAAGGTTTAAAAAAGAATTAAAACCACACAGATGTACATTTCCATGGCATGTATTGACTATTAAGATGGCTGATAGACTGTCTTAATTCTTCTGCTGCTTAGGCATGTGCCAGACTTTAGAGTACTATTCTTATTTAATTTAATGGCCCAACTGATCCTTTCATTGAAATAGTGAAAGAATTGTGAGAAACTCCCATAGAAGCTTAGAAAATCCATTCTATTTTTTAAGGCTTGGTTTAGAACACATTTACATGAATTTTTAAAATACATTAAAACCACTCCATTGGAAGTGATAGTGAAAAAATCCATTTCGTAATGTATTCAAACAAAATGAACAAAAGAATACAACCAAATTTCAGAGAAAACCCACAAATGCTCATGTATTCAAGCTAAAAAAACACCCCAAAAGCCCTATTTAAAAGATCAAAAAAGTAAATGTGCAGTCAATACTCGGTAAGGCCACAACCCAGCAGGTATTCAATCCACAAGCGGCAAATCCATCCCAATGAAAAGTAAATTAGAAGAATATCAAAGAATCAATAGATTATCAAGGACAGGACAGGAGGACCAGCACTCGGTCTTGATCATCTATGTCAAATTCATTCCCAAATAACCCAGAAGTACTTAAGCAGCATGGCACCTACGAAGTCTTCGCCAAAAGAACAATCAAAGCTACGCAGGATTTTGCTACCCTGAGTGAGTATAACAAACAAAAAGAAGAATGGAACAGTCTGAATGCGACCGAAACTGCAAATATTACAAAAACAAACGGAAACTATAATTCCACCTATCAATTAATTGACTTGGCTAGATTCTGAGAGAGAAAGTTTCGAAGGAAAAAAAAGAAAAAGAACAAAACATAATTAGATGAACATTTTTTTTCATTTTCGGGATTCAATTTTCCGTAACAACCAAAAAGCGATTCAACAGTAGAAAGAGAGAGAAAAGAGAAGGCAAAAGCCAGACAACATCAAGAGACAACAAACACATTAAAGAAATATCAGCAATGAAACCTTCAAGCGTGAACTTAATTCCTCCAGAAAGAAACCAACCAACCTGGCCTTTGACCTTCAGATTGATATGCGCAGATTGATCGTTGGGCTTTTTGTCTTCCTCCTGCTGCGTGTTCGTGACCCCCGACATTGTTCAATCTGCCGATTTGCCAGAAATTAGGGTTCAAATCCTTCTGATTTCCCCGACTCCTGAAAAGAGGAAATAAGTATTTCCTTTTTCAAAAAAGAAATCATATAGGTAAGTGACAGTGGGCCTATGGGCTCAGACTATTGGGCCAATAACTCATCTATGGACCTCACTATCAACATAAATTTTTAATAAAATAAAAAAAAATCATTTATATTGTTTTACGAAAGTACCCCTTTTTGGTAATGACTTCAAACCACATTTAATATAATATTTCCCTACATGGTTTTAAAGAAATCCAGTGCATATGTTTATTTAATTGATATAACTTTCTATTTTTATTATCAAAAATAGTTATCCTTCCTTTGCTCGTCGGCCACATGGACGGATTCATAGGGATCGAGCTACTTATATATGGCAAACACAAGCATAGTTTAACACGACAATTTTAGGTTTAAAACTTGTCCAAATTTTCTATTCAGTTTCGAGGGAACAAGGGAGAGATCTCAACTTGAAATTTGTGAGGATCAAATCTTTCCAACATAAACTTTCCCATTTAGTTTTGTTTATAGTTTCTTATAATGCCGTACTTTTAGGGAGAATATAATCAATTTATAGTTGTAGTATTCAAGATCACTCCCGTTACGTTACAAGTGTTAAGGTAGTATTCAAGATCACTCCCGTTACGTTACAAGTGTTAAGGTAGTATTCAAGATCACTCCCGTTACGTTACAAGTGTTAAGGTAGTATTCAAGATCACTCCCGTTACGTTACAAGTGTTAAGGTAGTATTCAAGATCACTCCCGTTACGTTACAAATGTTAAGGTAGTATTCAAGATCACTCCCGTTACGTTACAAGTGTTAAGGTAGTATTCAAGATCACTCCCGTTACGTTACAAGTGTTAAGGTAGTATTCAAGATCACTCCCGTTACGTTACAAGTGTTAAGGTAGTATTCAAGATCACTCCCGTTACGTTACAAGTGTTAAGGTAGTATTCAAGATCACTCCCGTTACGTTACAAGTGTTAAGGTAGTATTCAAGATCACTCCCGTTACGTTACAAGTGTTAAGGTGAGCATATAGTGGTTGAAACTTATCACTACGGTTTTCAATTCTTCTTGAGTTATGCTTGAAAATTCAAGTATAACTCAACTACTTCAGCCCAAAAAACCTTATTAGTTCAAATTTCTCAACTCTATTCTATACTCTTTAACCTTCAATAAACTATCTAAGTCATATACAGCTTAATCAATAAATCAAATGTTCAAATCAATAGATCAAATGTTCAAATCAATAGATCAAATGCTCAAATTTTCTCACTTCTTCGATCTAAAAAAACCATGCCCCGTCTGGTCATAACCCTCAAATGAAAAAAAATGAGATTCTTATCTTGTGAGGAATAAAAATGAACGGTAGAATGATGGCAGCTATATAGTCAAGTTAGATGATCAATAGAATTGGAATAGAATTGAATTTGAAAGCATATATATATATAGATATATATATATATACACACACACATATATACATATAAAGGTTAATCCGGGTATCCCACTTTGCTTTTAGTTTCCGTGGAATCGGATACTGTGGAGGAGGATGCCACGCTGGTAATGGGGTGGAATATTTGTTGCAAAATAATTTTTAATTATTTTTAAAAAAAAATTCTGAAAATTGACCATTTTGCCCTCACTTATCGGGCTAACCTAAACTAATTAAATCGGGATTTAGTTTCGAAATAATTGACATTAGAGATGGGGAGATCGGGTACGTAGGATTTCCGGTAATGGTGTCGCCGGTAAGCCTTATTTCAGCCACCCGCGGTGGAGGGTCGTCGGACGAAGAAGAAGAAGAATCCCTCAGATATCCATTTCAAATCATTCACTAAGTGTCATACGGCACTTGCAATTTCCAGGATTTCCTCACTGGGATATAAACTCAAAACTAAAATAAATAAAATAAAATAAAAACAATAATAAAATACCTTGCTTATGAATCCAATAAGACTGAAGCTAAGAATGCAGATTGAATCAGAATAGACAGATGGGGAAGATGACGGTCAGATTTTATAGACGTCAAATACAAACCCTAATCGGTAAGGCCTTCTCTTTTTGGGCTTTCTATGGCAATTTGGGCCTCACTTTTACTGGGCTTTGACTGTCAGAAGGCCCACCTTTAGGATATCTAAACATTTTAATATAATAAAGAAATTATTATCTTTAAACTTATTAATATTAGCCTTTAATGTACCCAACATTTTCTAATTAAAGACCCCTGAATTAATTAAATAATACAAAACATCTAATTCGATTCCCACTACTTACATGTATAAAAGAATAATAATAAAAAAAACAATTCGAATATTATAAAATCCAAATTCCAAAGGATATTAGAAATTCCCAACACTTTTTTCTATCAATTGCGTTGGATTCACGACGAGAGACTAAACCATTTTCAAAATCTTCCAAGTGGGTTTGGTATATATATATATATATATATGAGGAGGAAACCAGGAAGGTACATTGTAATTAACTTACCAAATAAGCAGAGCGTTCAATCCATACAACGAGCCAAGCCAGGTAACAAGTGATATGAGAAGATAATATTGACCTCACAACATAAAGCATAAACTTTGGGAAGTCTTTCCAGAATCTACACCTAATATAAACCACCTGCAAGAATCTAAATGACCCACATTTTCCTTTTTCGATCAAAAAACAAATACTAAAGGTCCACATATCGCATATCAACCACTCGATCCACCTGTTTGGTGCAACATTGCATCGATCTCATCCCCATCCTCCATCTCTAGCTGGGAAAAATTACATGCTTTTACTAAAAATTCATGAAATTTCATATTAGGGTATCTAATTGTGCTTAGATTAGAGAAAGGGATACCTCGTCTGGGGTCTGCTCTGCTCGAAGACGACGACCATCGAATAGAAAAGCAATGGAGTTCAGATCCACAGATTGTCGATCACAGTAAGCATTCATTAGTTTCTTCAGCTGAGTGCTCCTTTTAATCCTGAAGAACACCTCGTTCCCATCCTATAGGAAATCAAAGATTCAGAACATACTTCTTTGGTACAAAAAAATTAACTTTTATGGAGAAAAGTGAAACAAGTCAACAAGGAATCCATCCCACTATAGGAAGATCAAGAAAAATATTTCTAACCAAAATTGATTAAGAACGAATTGATGTAATTATCAACTTGATAAAGAAGAATGAAGGAGAAAGGAAACAGTACAAGCTGAAGTGAAACAAAGAACAGAAAAGAAACTGAGAAATTAACTCAATAGATAGATTAAACCGGTCCTCCAATCAAATCACTATAATTTGTACCATTAATCACAACGGAGACCATAGAGTGAAAGAATTGTGAGAAACTCCAACTCATTTTAGCTTAAAGGAACACCACAAATGCTTTGGTACTCATGCTTGGATAAACATCCCAACAGCGCTGTTTGAAAGATCAAAAATGGAAATGTGCAGCCAATGCTCAGCAAGGCTACAATCGAGCAGATATTCGATGCACAAGTGATGAGTCCATCCCAATGAAAAGTATATTGGAAGAATATCTAAAATCACTAGCTCATCCAGGACAGGACAGGAAGACCAACGGCTATGTAAAATTCACTCCCAGTATCCCAGATAGTAGTTTATAACAGCATGCACCTACGAAGTCTTTGCCAAAAAGATCAATCAAAGCTATGACATGAATTTTGTTAACTATTACACAAAAAATGGAAACTACAATTCCATCTATCACTTAATTGACTTTTGCTAGATTCTGAGAGGGAAAGATGAACAAAAAAAGTTCCATTTTCGGGATTCAACTTTCGGTAACAACCAAAAGCAATTCGATAGTAGAAAGAGCGAGAAAAGAGAAGGAAAAAGCCAGAAAACATCAAGAGACTACGAACATATGAGAGAAATATCAGCAGCATTAAAACCTTCAAGCATCAACTTAATTTCTCGAGAAGGAAACCAACCTGGCCTTTGACCTTCAGATTGATATGCGCCGATTGATCGTTAGGCTTTTTGTCTTCCTCCTGCTGCGTGTTTGTGACCCCCGACATCCTTCAATCTCGTCCGATTTACTAGAAATTAGGGTTCAAATACTTCTGATTTCCGACTCCTGAGAGGAGGAAAATAGTTTTTATTTTTTGAAATAAGAAAATTCATATATATATATATAGATGTGCTCCTGGGCCGGTGGGCTGAGACTATTGGGCCTAAGTATCATCAGAAATTTTATTTAAGAATTTTTTTTACGATAATACCCTTTCTTCTAATGACTTAAACCACATTTAATATAATATTTCCTCTATATATATATATATAGTTCTAAATAAATTTAGTGCATCCATGATTAATTTTTTTAATTAACTATAACCCAAATTTTTCCTCTCATATTTTCACATTCTCATACATATATCTTTTATCCATACCAAACCTAAAACATTTCTAGAACTATATTTTAAAATATTTCACAAATTTTAACTTTTAGAACCAACCCTTAAGTTATTACACGTGTGAAAAGAGTTTTTTTTTTTTTTTTTTTTTTTTTTGGTATTAAGTTTAATACCAATAATGCAGGCTGTTTGAAATGAGAACAGAATGATGTAATATAAAGTCTACAAATAAAATGGTTAGTCCCACAATTTTCAATCCCTAGTTCTTGATTTTTTTTTTAAATACCAAATTCGTTGGATTTCAATTTTGTGTCCTACAAATTCCTACAATTTTAATCTTTTAATCTTATATTTAGTAGGTTTAAGAATTTACAAAATCATCAAAATACACAAAATTAAAATTTTATATTTGTATTAGACATAAAATTAAAGGGTTTAATGACTTAGTAATTCTATATAGGCGGGGACAACCAAAATCTTTGGTTATCAATGAATTTGGGATAATGGGTTGATATGAACACACAAGATAAGCAATTCTAGTGGGATCAACATTTGATCCGATCTCACTTAAGCTAACTTTAACCCCGAATATACCAAGGGGCTTGAGAAGAACAAAAGACGAACAATAAAAAATCAGTAATCATTATGAATCTTTTTTTTCACTCAGTCGAGAATCTTTGCCTTTCTTTCTTCTCACTTCTTTGAGAATATAAATCCATCAACACTACCGAGTATGCAATCATTGCCCGTGATCACTAACAGTAACAACCTCGAAAAATGAAGTCCAATCCATATGGGAATGGAATTTCTAGTCATCCCCTCTAAATGGACCTAAATTAAGCCATAAAGATTAAGGAGATAGTCCTCCAATCATTTATCAAGAGTTCACTGATGTCCGTAATAATAATTTCATATGGTGAAATACAGTTTCCAATACACTGAATGAATCCGACAAGAGTTCCATAAGAAACTAAAACGAGAATTATGAATTATTAGCTGATAGGGTGCATAAAGTACCTTTGATTGATTGCTTTTTCCACTGAGCTTCGGACTTCGAACTTCGGCTTCGAAGGAACCAGGGACAGGGATGAATGATCAAACAGCTGAAAATTGTTACTGCCATTTTATTGGTCCAAACAAATCAAACATTACACTAAATGCATGCACATTATAGTTCTTTTCACATGCAAAGAGTACTCATATCCAAAAGAATACAGACAAGGGCCATGCCTCTCTAGTTGCCTTGCTTTTTATAATGATTTAGGGAAGGAATAACTTCAGGGTGATGAAGATTGAGAACTTTTAAAATGAACTGTAAGTGCTTGAAGGTTTGTACTGCCCTAGGTCCACCAAAGAAATCTTGCAAACCAAACAGGGTGATTCAGAAAGAGTGCAGGCAGGTGTAAGGGTATAGAATACTTTGAGGTGTACACATGGAAACATTCGTCATTATCCCTAAGGAAAAATGCAAAAAAGAAAAAAGAAAAGAAAAATCTCTAAATTACTTAGAAGGATTTCAGGAAAGTACTGTCTTTTCCATTTTATTCCAGCAAAAGATCTGCCCTCTGTAATCATTTTTCACCTCTTTGAGCATGAGAATAACATGGGATGATGCTTAAAGTCAGAGATATCAAACAGCTCCATAAACCTCTGGTCTGAAATTCTTGCTTTTGCAGCTGCAAATCTCTGGTACTCATCAAACACAGAAGTGAGGCACCACCTCTGCAATTTTCTAAGGCATCCCACAAGACAACCTGTTCGATGCTGGACAGAGAGAAGAATTTATAGATAAGAGAGTAGTGAGCTTGGATTCGTGGGAAGGAAGCATAGGGGGGAAACGGTGATTACCTTTCCTCTTTTGCAATGTATGAGAACTGGGTGATTCCTATCGTCTGCATTGAGAAAATTAACCTAATTAGATAACAACAATCTTCACAAAATAATACCCCTAGTCAATCAGTTTTAAGATGATATTCAGTGGTACCAAGGACAACTTTTAGTGCTTCACGAATCATATCATCCGGAATGTTCACGAATGGCTCCTGAAGACACAAATATTAATATCAACGTAAGATAACTGTAACGGTAGTACTATGAAATCTGGCACAGTCAGGCATATATCACTCGTATTCGCATTTCAACTAGAACAAAACCATAGCATCATGGTACCATTTACAGAGACCATAAATCAAGCATCCATGCCGAGGTATAAATATTGAGCATTTGAAAAAAAATGGGGCAGTGAGCCACTGATAGCAAGGATGAAGACAAAGTTCACTGACAGGGTAGTGGAGTTATGGCTTACAAGGATCTAATGAAGTAGATATTCGAATCAACAGAGAAACGGAAAAGGATTACCAAAACCCTCAAGTTTCCTAAAACTTAAGAACATATTATACTCGGTAATCAATGTAATTGAACCTAATATCACATGATATCACTGGAAATTAATTTCCTGAACACATGATACAGCTAGTAACACAGGCAGATCAAATCGGGTATCTTTTATTGGCTGAGAAAATTAGTTTTATGTTTCAAATCACATGTTTACACTAACGGTCTAATAGTTCAATGATAGATTTCGTGCATGTGGGCGTATATCAATCTCCGAATCCTCAAAAGATATCCCAT